CTCTTTCCCCTCCATAAATATGTAAATATATAAATTTTAAATAATACATTATTTTAATTCTTATACGAATAATGATCTATATTTAATTTTGAGTGCATTAGTGCATGATATTTCAACTATCAATGATTGCATAAGACAGCCATATTGCCATATATATAGATATAAATTAGAACATATATAGATACTAAGTAAAATATATAGGACTGTTAATTTTTTAAGTGATACAAAATTAAATTATTACAAATAGGGGAGACTATTGTACCTGGAAACATGTATTTTGTATGATAATCGTTCTTTTAATAATAGTAAAAAGTTTAAAATTACTAACGATCATATTGTTTTAATCGCTATTCGTTTGCAACTTGTATAAAAAAATGCTCCAGTTATATGTCAATATTTTATCTATAAAAAAATATTTTATTTCCTTTAACAAATATTTTTTTTTTCGTTAATATTTTTTTTCGATAATTTTAGCTATTATTTAATATATATTGACAAAATTGTACTCTCTCTTTCTGATCTCTACAAACACTAGATTTTGAAAGAGAGGTTATTGTGTATATATATTTGGAAACAGATTTAAATATCTTTAGATACAACATGCTTCTATTTTTATTTTTTTAGAATAGTCTGAAGTAAACTAAAGAAGAGCAAAAAGGTCAAATCCTAACAAAATGAATGTGGAAGCAATATACAAAAAATATTTCAGATAACAAAAATTCTCTCATAAAAATTGCAAATATTATAAAGTTTCCAAAATCAAAAATTCCCCCTATAGTGTTCCTCTATATTATTGAAGTTTTATAGTGCTTTTCTTAGTTTTAAAAAAATACTAAGGCCATTGAATTAATTATTAATGTTTAACTTATAATGCTAAAGTTAAAATATATTATATATAATCATGACAAATGTATATATGTTTGATGAATGATAATGCAAATTGATAATTCAATTGTCTGTTTGCAGTTCTCCAAAAATGTACACGATAAAGAGTTTAATCAAAGGAGAGACAGAAATAGAATTGAGAGAGGCAATTAAAATTATAACATTTAGAGCTGCCACTTAAATAGGAGCATACAGATTGTTGATGATGTCGACGTAATATTGTGTTCCGTACTAATCTATCACTTTTATCTGTTTAGTTATAAACGTATCGATGTGATGTGCACATTGTTAAACATGTGCTTGCCGTTCGAAGTTCGATACCTTGGCACATGCATCGAGGAGATCGGCAAGCGGGATTATAATGACCTGCGCGATACGGAGCACCATGCGAACAACGCCTCCGACGTGGCCGAACTGACGACCTCCAGCGTGACGGATAAACGCACGCGAAGAAAACTGGCTCTTTACATGGCGCTATTGCACTCCTGCAATTATGCCTGCGCGGTGATCCTGTATAAGAATCTGTCGAACCTCGATCATCAGGAGGTCACCAATCTGATAAATGGAACCACCTTTAATGCGGATGATCAACCTCTGGAAGAGTTGCTGCTGCTGTATACGATGGCACTGAATCATCCGGCCTTCACGTACGAG